GGAGGCGGAGCCCCTGCGTGTGCAGCACAAGAAGGACCACCCGGACTACAAGTACCAGCCGCGCCGCAGGAAGGGCGCCAAGGCCGGCCAGGGCGACCCCGACGCGGGCGCCGAGCTGGGCCACCACCCCGGGGGTGCCGCCGGGTACAAGGCGGACGTGGGCCTTGGCGACACGCACCACCACGCCGACCACCCAGGTGAGAGCCCCAGTGGGGAGGGCCGGCTCCCTGGGCAGGCGTCCTTGAGGTGCCCGAGAAAGCCTGCAGAGCCCGCATCAGGGCGGGGCGGCGGCCCAGCACCCCTGCAGGCCTGGCCCAGTGTGGCTCTAACGTGGGTGGGCGTGGCTGCTCCAGCCTCAGGGTCAGAGCGAGTGTGGCCTGGGGAGCTGGCTTCGCCCACGAGTCCCACTTACCCTGCAGGAAGGCTGGGCCTCGCTGGCGCCCTGTGCAGCGTGAGCGCTGGTTCTGGGGCAGCCTGTGGCCGCCTTCTTCTTTGGGGAGGGCCTGGTCTGAGCAGCACAGCTGCCTGGCCGAGGCGAGGGCGAGGAGGGAGGTCTGGCCTGGCTGCGGGGATGTCTGGGCACAGGAGACAGGAAGCCACTGGTTCCCGCTGGGCAGCGCCGGGGCTGCTGGGGCTCTGCGTGCCTGCCAGCCCCCACAGAGGGGCAATTCATCCTTGAACTGTGCTCTCCACAGGCCAGACCCACGGGCCGCCCACCCCGCCCACCACCCCCAAGACAGACCTGCACCACCCCGGGAGCAAGCAGGAGCTGAAGCTGGAAGGGCGCCGCCTGGTGGACACTGGGCGCCAGAACATCGACTTTAGCAACGTGGACATCTCGGAGCTCAGCAGCGAGGTCATGGGCAACATGGACACCTTCGACGTGCACGAGTTTGACCAGTACTTGCCCCTTAACGGCCACTCGGCCACGCCTGCAGAGCCCGGCCAGGCCGTCACCAGCTCCTACGGCAGCACCTCCTACCCGCACGCTGGCACTGCTGGTGGCGGGCCATCCCCTGGGTGGGCCCCCAAGGGGGCCCCGGCAGCCTCTGCATCGCCCACGGAGGCGGGCGCACCCCGCCCACACATCAAGACAGAGCGGCTGAGCCCCGGCCGCTACAGCGACCAGCCGCACGGCTCGCCCGGCCGCTCTGACTTCGGCTCCTACAGCGCCCAGGCCGGCATGGCCACGGCTGCCTCTGTGGGCTCCTTCGCTGGGCCACAGTGCGACTACGCTGACCTGCAGGCCCCTGGCTACTACAGCCCGTACCCCGGCTATGCACCTGGCCTCTACCAGTGCCCGTACTTCCACTCCTCACGCCGGCCCTACGCCTCACCCCTGCTCAACGGCCTGTCCCTGCCACCGGCCCACAGCCCCCCAGGGACCTGGGACCAACCCGTGTACACCACCCTGACCAGGCCCTAGGGCCACCTGCTCTCAATGAGGACAGACCAGGACTCCGAGGGCCCGGACAGGGAGGGGAGACCAGGGGCCGGCAGCCATGCCCGCCACGTGCCCACTACGCTGGTGGGGACCACCTTCGTGGCCAGCACCGCCTGTGTGTCCCGACCTCTGGGCTCCTACTGGCGTTGGATCGCCCTTGTCCTTTCCTGTCCCCTCGAGGTGGCGGGTGATTCTGCAGCCAAGGACAGCCGGTTCATCCCCTCCTGGGGGCCCTCAGCCACGTGCTCTGTGTCCCGGCGTCTCAGAGGGCCACACGAGGAGGCAGCAGGAGGTCCCGGGTCAGCCTTGGTGCTGCAGACCCCGGGGGCCTGCCAAGAGCTCTTCCCAACGAGGTTTGGCAGAGATTCACAATTCTCTTTTTATTTTGATTATTTTCATTTTTGAAGCTTAAATGTGTCTGTTTTGCAAGCTGTTAAAGATGTATTTATGTTCTGTATCACTTTGTCTTCAAACAACGAAGCCATTCGTGCAGAGTGGCGCCCAGGGCAGCCCAGGAGCCGGAGCGTCCCTTCCGCGGTGGGGGTTGCGGCGGCCAGAGGCCCCGAGGGAGGCGGGCCTGGCCTCCCGTCTGCCTGGCCTGGGCTGGGACTTGGAGAGGAGGTCGTCCGTGCCACGTCTGTGCCAGGTGGTGGTGGTGGAGGGCTCCCTGGGAGTGGTGGCTGCAGAGGTAGAGGTCTTGGCCCACAGGCACGGCGCCTCCCACCCACTGTGGAACTCGCACTCCCCCGGCCAGGGCCTGGCGGTGCCCTCCGCCAGCTCAGCGCCTCGCGTGCGCCATGCGCCAGTGCGACCCCAGGGATGTGCCTCCGGACCACCTTTGCAGACCTCTGGGAATTGCTCCTCTGTAGCTTTTCTACTTTCCC